TATCAATAATATTATATATTAGGGCCGGTCCGCTGTTTCCAACAACGCGGAATTACGATGGGAATAAAAATCAATGCTGCTTTCAAAGCCGCAAAATTGCTCCCCAAAGCTGCTCTTCAAAGTTGCTACCGAAAGCCGCGTCCCAAAAACACTCCCCAAAATTCCAATATTGTTACCCGAAGCTGCCTCAAAGCTAGTCCGGAAAGCTGTCCAAAGCTGCTCCCTAAAGCTGCTCCCCAAAGCTGTTCCCCTGCGCTGCTCCACAAAGTTGTGCCCAAAGCTGTTCTCCAAAGCTGTTGCCCCAAAGCTGCGGAAAGCTGCTCCCCAAAGTTGCTGCTGCCCGAAGCTGCCAGCTGGTCTGGAAAGCTGTCCAAAGTTGCTCCCCAAAGCTGCTACCCAAAGCTGTTCCCCGGCGCTGCTCCCCAAAGTTGTGCCCCAAAGCTGTTCTCCAAAGCTGTTGCCCTAAAGCTGCGATTCTGCAAACCTGTTCACCAAAACGGCTCCCCAAAGCCATTCTGCAAAGCGGCTCCTAAAAGCTGCGCCCCAAACTTGCTACCAAAAGCTGCTGTCCAAAGCTATAGCCCCAAAGCTGAAATTCTTCAAACCTATACCCCCAAACGGCTCCCCAAAGCTATTCTGCAAAGCGGCTCCCGAAAGCTGCTCCCGAAAGTTGCTACTAAAAGCTGCTCCCCGAAGTTGTTTGTAAAACTTCCCCCGGCTGTTCTTCAAAGCGATTGTTCATGAAAGTTGCTCCGGACAGCTTGCCAAAGCTGCTCCCCAAAGCGGTTCCCCGAAGCTGCTTCCCAAAGCTGTTCTCCAAAGCACCTCTGCAAAGCGGTTGCCCCAAAGCGGCTATGCTTCAAACCTGTTCCCCAAAGCTAGTCTCCAAAGCGACTCCCGAAAGCTGCTCCCCAAAGTTGCTGCCAAAAGCTGCTCCCCAAAGTTGTGTTCACAAAGGTGCTCCCCAAAGCTGAAATTTTTCAAAGCTGCCGTGCAAAGCTGCTCCTCAAAGCTCCTCCCTAAAGCTGCTCCCAAAGCTGTTCCCCTGCGCTGCTCCACAAAATTGTGCCCAAAGCTGTTCTCCAAAGCTGTTGCCCCAAAGCTGCGGACAGCTGCTCCCCAAAGTTGCTGCCGAAAATTGCTCCCCAAACTTGCGTTCTAAAAGCTACTCCCCAAAGGTGCTCCCCAAAGCTGCGGTTCTTCAAAGCTGCCGTGCAAAGCTGTTCTTCAAAGGTGCTCCCTAAAGCTGCTCCCCAAAGCTGTTCCCCTGCGCTGCTCCACAAAGTTGTGCCCAAAGCTGTTCTCCAAAGCTGTTGCCCGAAAGCTGCGATTCTGCGAACCTGTTTGCCAAAACGTCTCCCCAAAGCCATTCTGCAAAGCGGCTCCCGAAAGCTGCGCCCCAAAGTTGCTAAGCCTGCCCCCGAAAGTTGTTTCCGAAAGCGGCTTCTAAAAGTTGCTTTCTAAAGCTACTCCCCAAAGCTGTCGTTCTTCAAAGCAACTGTCCGTCAATGTTGCTGCAATGCTGCAAAGTTGCTCCCCACAGTTGCTCCCCAACTTCCGAAAGCTGTTCTCCAAAGCACCTCTGCAAAGCGGTTGCCCCAAAGCGGCTATGCTTCAAACCTGTTCCCCAAAGCTATTCTCCAAAGCGACTCCCGAAAGCTGCTCCCCAAAGTTGCTCCCCAAAGCTGCGGTTCTTCAAAGCTGCCGTGCAAAGCTGCTCCTCAAAGCTGCTCCCTAAAGCTGCTCCCCAAAGCTGTTCCCCTGCGCTGCTCGACAAAGTTGTGCCCAAAGCTGTTCTCCAAACCTGTTGCCCCAAAGCTGCGGAAAGCTGCTCCCCAAAGTTGCTGCTGCCCGAAGCTGCCAGCTGGTCGGAAAGCTGTCCAAAGTTGCTCCACAAAGCTGCTACCCAAAGCTGTTCCCCGGCGCTGCTCCCCAAAGTTGTGCCCCAAAGCTGTTCTCCAAAGCTGTTGCCCTAAAGCTGCGATTCTGCAAACCTGTTCACCAAAACGGCTCCCCAAAGCCATTCTGCAAAGCGGCTCCCGACGGCTGCGCCTCAAAGTTGCTACCAGAAGCTGCTGTCCAAGGCTATTGCCCCAAAGCTGCAACCTTTCAAACCTATACACCAAAACGGCTCCCCAAAGCTATTCTGCAAAGCGGCTCCCGAAAGCTGCTCCCGAAAGTTGCTACTGAAAGCTTCTCCCCGAAGTTGTTTGTAAAACTTCCCCCGGCTGTTCTTCAAAGCGATTGTTCCTGAAAGTTGCTCCGGACAGCTTGCCAAAGCTGCTTCCCAAAGCTGCTGTCCAAAGCTATTGCCCGAAAGCTGCGATTCTTCAAATATATACCCTAAAACCTCTCCCCAAAGCTATTCTGCAAAGCGGCTCCCGAAAGTTGCTACTGAAAGCTGCTCCCCGAAGTGGTTTGTGTACAGGCAGATCGTAATATTAGTAGTAATAAATTGAGGACATGACGTTATAGATTGCGGCTTGCAATTCTTGGGGCGCAACAGTGAACAGCCATGCGGTCTACACCGAGGGCACCGCCACAGGGTTAACATGACTAAATGTGTAGCCATATGAAAATATGCGACTGGTTTGGTTGTGTAACTTCATTCCGCTAGCTTGGCGACACTATATCAGCGGCCTTTTTCCAATGCAAAGTCAGCGGCACCAAAAAGACACTCGTACCCAAGACCTGCAAGCTTGAAATATTTGTGGGCCCTGTAGTGAATTCAAGAGAGCGACAGTCGCATGCGGTAAATTCAAAATAACGGAAACGCAAAACGAAAGTTCCCAAAGTTTGTATTCGTGAAAAGTCCCAAAATTGTGGCAAATTTTTGGGAAAATTCGGCTCGGGGTGAAAGTCCCAAAATAGTGGCAGATTTTTGGGAAAATTGGGCTCGGGGTTAAAGTGCCAAAATTGTGGCGAACTCCGCGCGCGCGCCAAATTCAGGAGATACATGCTCAAACACAACTGAAAGACCTACCGAGCGACACTGGACCAGCGGGGAATCGAACCTCCGACCGACCCTGACCGACCGTACTGCATTTGCTTAGTGGGACACTGACTGGGGAGAAGAGAAATTTCCCCAAAAAAGTATCACTTTTTTGGGAAAATCAAAAATGATTTTCCCAAAATAGTAGTAAAATTTCGACCTCCGAGCAGGGGGCTCAGGAAGCACAGGCTTAGTTTGTATTCGCGCAGACTAAGTTTGTATTCGCCAATTTTCCCAAAAAAGTAGCAGATTTTTGGGAAAATTGGCCTCGGGAAACTGCGCGCGAGCGCTCTGTGTAAGGCTAGATCGTAATATTAGTAGTAATAAATTTATTAATATTATTATTTATATATATATATTTATTTATATATATATATTTATTTATATATATATATATCATTACCCCCCCTGCCCCTCCTTTCCTGCCGACGCATTGTTGTGGGACGACCACCATTTTTCCTGACGAGAATTTTTTTTTTGCCCCCTGACGACGCATTACCCCCTGACGACGCATTGTGACGACACATTCCCTGACGACGCATTGCCCCCCATCCTCCCCCCCTCATGGCCTCCCTGACGACGCATATATATTACCCCCCCCACCTGACGAGACGCACATTTGTGACGACGCCATTGTTTGTGAAGACGAAGTGACGAGTACCCCTGACGACGCATTGCATTGTGACGACACATTCCCTGACGACGCATTGCCCCCTGACGACGCATTACCCCCTGACGACGCATTGTGACGACACATTCCTTGACGACGCATTGCCCCCTGACGACGCATTGTGACGACACATTCCCTGACGACGCATTGCCCCCTGACGACGCATTACCCCCTGACGACGCATTCTGACGACACATGCCCTGACGACGCATTTCCCCCTGACGACGCATTGTGACGACACATTCCCTGACGACGCGACAACGCATTATCTACGCCCTGACGACGCATTGTGTATTGCCTGAAGACACATGCCGTTGACAGGCTATAGGCATGACGAGCAAGGGCGCAGGCGTACTGTAGTCTTAGTATGTGGGAAGATAAATAGAGGAATGTAGAGAGGAAGAGGAGCCGGAGGGCAGACAGGGATTTGGTCTGATCACCAAGGCTGGGTTATGTAGAAATATAAAGGGTAGAGGTAATTATCAAGATCGTGTGGCCCGTTTTTGCGATCTCAGTTGAAAATCCTTGAGGCAAGGATCAATCATTAAGTTGAAGTAGTAGAACCTTCTTAGCTTCTTACCAAACCCAAACGAAGAGAGCGCCCGAGTGTTCCAGGTTCAATGAGAAAGTATTGAGCGTGTAGCATTCAGAACATGCGGGAGTTTAGTGCGTAACATCAAGAGCCTGTTGAAAGTTCCAAGAGAAACCTAGGCGAGTAATACCAAGAGAGCATGTTGAAGGACCAAGAAAAACCTAAGAGTCTAGCATCCAGAACGTGTTGGAGCTCAGAGCGTAGCATCAAGCGCATGCTGGAATGCTTGAGGAAGAACAAAAGAGCGTAGCATCTAGAGCGTCCTGGCGTGTTCCAGAACAAAAGCTAAGAGCGTAGCACGAAGAGCGTGACTTTCTCCAGACCGCAGCGTCAAGAGGCGGAGCGTAGCACCAACAAGAGCGCGCTGAAAGTTCCAAGAAAAAGTTATAAGAGCGTATCATCACGATTGTGGTGGGCCGTAGCGTCAACAGCATCTAGGACTGTTCCAAGACAAGGTTCAGCGCGTAGCATCAAGAGAGTGTGAGCCGGAGCCAAGAACGTAGCATCACGAGCGTGTTGGCATTCAATGTGTCACAAAAAGAAGCAAAAATCGCGCGCCATGCTTCAAGAGAAGCCAAGAGCGTAGCGTCAAGAGCGTGCTGGCACGTCTCAGGACAAGGCAAAGAGAAAGTGTTGGACAGCCCGCGAGATAGTTAAGAGCGTTAAAATCACCAGGAGCGTGTTGGAAGTTCCAATAGACAGCTAAGAGCGTAGCATCAAGAGCTTGCCGGACTGGCCTATAGGAGAAAGCTAAGAGCGTAGCAGCAAAATCGTGTCGGAAAACCCAAGAGTAAGCCAAGAGCCTAGCACCAAGAGATGGTTCGAACTTCCAAGAGAAAATTAGCATAGCATTCAAGAGGCGACTGTCTCCAGAGCGTAGCGTCAAGGGCGTGCTGAAATGCCTCAGGTGAAGGCCAAGAACGTAGCATCAAAAGAATTTTCAGAATTTCAAAGAGCAAGCCCGGAGGCTATAGCATCCAGAGCATTTCGTTGGTTACTCTTCCCTTTCGTTTTGTCTTCCCTTCTGTTCCCTACGTCGCTCCTTTCGTTTTAACTTCTGCTCCGTTCGTTACTTCCTCCCCATTGCTTCATCTTATTCATTCACCTCTTCCTCTCATTTAAAGGTGTTCATTTCGTTAGGTCCGTCTTTTCGCTCAAATCTTCTGTCCTGTTCTTCCTGCTCTTCCTTTCCTGTCAACTCGTCCATTTCATTGCGTCCGTCTTTTTGTTGCAACTCTTCCCTTCCATTCGTTGCTTCCTTCCTTTCGCTTTAACTCTTTGATACTCTTTGTAATCCCGTTCGCTACTTCTTTCGTTTCAACTCTTCCCTTCTGTTCCCTATACGTCGTTCCTTCCGTTTTAAATCGTTTTAATTCTTCCCTTCTGTTCGTTACTTCCTCCCCATCGTTTCAACGCTTCCATCCTGTTCATTTTACCTCTTCCTTTCATGTCAATGCGTTCATGTCGCTGATTCCTTCCTTTTTAAGTCTGACATGCGGTTTGTTTACCTCTTCCTTTTTTCCAAGTCGTTCATTTCGTTACCTTCGTTTTTCAACTCTTACATCCGGTTCGTTTACCTCTTCCTTTCGTTTCGAGCCGTTCATTTCGTTATACTTCTTTCTTTCCTTTAGTTTCTAGTCTTACATCCGCTTCGTTTACCTCCTCCTTTCCTCTCACGCGTCCATTTCATCGCGTCCGTCCTTTCGTTGCAACTCTACGCTTCGATTCGTTACTTCTTTCCCTTTCGTTTCAACTCTTCGCTCCTGTTCCCTATACCTCGTTCCTTTAGTTCTAAACTCTTCTCTTCCCTTCGTTACTTTTTTCCCATCGTTTCAACGCTTCCATCCTGTTCATTGTCATTTACCATTCCGTTCGTTTCACGGCGTTCATTTCGCTACTTCCCTTCCTTTTGCTTCAATGTGTTCATCCAGTTCGTTTACCTCTTCCTTTTGTTTCAAGCCGTTCATTTCGTTACCTCCTTTCTTATCTTTCTTTCGCTTCAACTCTTCTTTCCTGTTCGTCTTGCTCTTCCTTTCCTTTCAACTCGTCCTTTTCATTGCGTCCGTCCTTTCGTTGCAACTCTTCCCTTCCATTCGTTACTTCCTTCCTTTCGTTTCAACTCTTTTTCATCCCTTTCGTTACTCCTTCCCTTCCCTTTCAACTCCCTTCCGTTTCCTATACGGCGTGCCTTTCGCTTCAACTCTTCTCTTCCGTCCATTACTTCCTCCCCATCGTTTCAACGCTTCCATCCTGTTCACGTAAATTAAACCTCTTCTTTCGGGAGGGAATTCGTCTGCGGAGCGCACTTCGTCTTCGGGGAATTCGTCTTCGGAATTCGTCTTCGGGGGGAATTCGTCTTCGGGGGGCAATTCGTCTTCGGGGAATTCGTCTTCGCAGTTCGTCTTCGGGGGGGAATTCGTCCTCGGGGAGCAATTCGTCTTCGGGGAATTCGTCTTCGCAATTCGTCTTCGGGGGGGAATTCGTCTTCGGGGGGCAATTCGTCTTCGGGGAATTCGTCTTCGGAATCCGTCTTCGGGTGGGAATGCGTCTTCTTTCGTGTTATGCGAGGCCCTGTCTTCGAATTTTCATTAGCCAGTCCTCCTCATTCAATTTTATCTATGTGCTGTCTAGTCTCGCTTTCCTCTTCATCTAGAATCATTCATATCTATACCACTTTCATGGATGACTTCGCTTCATCTCTATCTTCGGCGTGGGTGAAATTCGTCTTCGGGGAAGTCGTCTTCGCAATTCGTCTTCGGGGGGCAATTCGTCTTCGTGAAATTCGTCTTCGGAATCCGTCTTCGGGGGGGAATTCGCCTTCGGGGGGCAATTCGTCTTCGGGGAATTCGTCTTCGCGATTCGTCTTCGGAATTCGTCTTCGTCTGCGGGTGGAAAGGTGATACCCGCACAGCGGGCTCAATGTAATAATACAGTAATAATACATAATAATACATAATAATACATAATAATATATTACAATATAATTATAATTATAATATATATATATATATACAATAATAATGAATCATAATAATATTATAATTAAAATTAATGATAGAACTATTAAATGATAATAATAACAATAATAAATTAGAAATAACAATATCATCTATATTTATTAACTATATATATATATATATAACACATAAGATTCAGAAGAAGCAATGACCACGCCTGTCCTACCTCTATGATCCTTTTGCCCGTGACCCAGGCGGGCACCTTCAGATCATTTTCTGCAGAAAGGTGGAAGGATTTGAGATCCGGAAGCGCCTGGAGGTTGATGGCCAAGATGCCCTCATTGCCCACAAAACCGATGGTGCAGCATGCTAGGGGCGCAAAAGGGGTATTAAGAAGTAGCTACGTAGTTTTCACCATCTTTCAGCATCTTTCATCAACATTTTGTTGTCATCCTATCTTATCTTAAGATCTCAACTCACGTTTTGTGAATCGTTTGTGCCAGGGCACAAGATCCTACATCCAACCACAGACTCTTCAAACTTGATGGCAGTTTCTCCGCTAGGCGCCGCAATCCACCACCGCCCACGCGAGATCGGGTCAACCTGAGAAGCAAATGATCTGCCATGAGTGGCCGCCTGTGGACCAATGATTTGATGGAGTCCCTCAGCATCCTGTGGATATCTGATTATATCTGTGGATCAACATTTTGACCACTTTTGACCTATCTGAGCTCTTCCAACCCCCGGTTTCTTGCAGGGGCCGCCTTTCCGAAAGATCCGAAAGGCCAAGACACCCGAGCTGCAAGTGGAGCAAGCCTGGAGGGATGGCCGATGCCAGTTGTTCAACAGCTGCTTGTCCCAAGTGGCAGCGGAAGAAGTCCAAATTCAGCACCTTCGCCAAGGCACTGGGTGTGACAAAACCCTGTGTTTCTCCGGAACTTTTCAACTTCAGGGCTTTGCCGAGCAAAATGGAGAGTTTGGGTGGGTCCCTCGTACCTCTGCGTGTTGGTCGTGCCTGGACTGGAATAAGAGCCGTTGAAGACAAATAAATTCATGATAAGTAAGTGGGTTGGCCCGTCTTGGTGATCCCGGGCCTTCCATGGTCCGTTCTTGCTACCCGTTATAGCATTCAGAATGAACCATTCATTAGCCAGCCACTGGACTTCAGATACCCATTCGAGCAATTTGTCTTGTGCGGGGAAACCCTTCATTGCTGTACCACCGCTCATAATTGCTTCATGATTCTTTTTGCTCTCCTGCGAAGGTACATGGCCTGCTTTGCGTTCTCACAGTTTCCTTTTGATCCTCTAGCATAGTTTTAAAAAGTGCTAGAATCTGTGAGTCGTGCCCTTGCACGTGCTAAGCAAACCCAAAGTAACATATGAGCGGCAAAACCTCAATTGAAAAATGCGATCTTCGGGTCAAAGTTATCGTTTTTGGGACTTCACTATATCGTTTTACAATTTCTCCTGATTGTATCATCCGCATCCCCTGGCAAACTGCATGCGGAAAGCCTTTTTACACCTCCACTTCGCGTCTTGGGCATCTTTGACTGCCCTGCGCTTTCTTTTCCAGCGCTTCAACTGTATGGTGGGTGTGGTGTGATACCTGCCAGCGCAACTGCAAATCACAGTTGCACCATCCTTTCTCCAGCTCAGAAACAAGCTTTGAATTCAGTTTGTTGGAGGAAAACCGGGTGAGCTCTCACAGCGACATGCTCCATGCCTTTCATTCACTCGCCAGCATCTGCGCAGCAAACCATCGACCTGGTCCAACGCCTTTGCCTTGGCTATCTTCATCTAGGATAAAGATCGTCAAACCGGACCTGCAGGTGCAGTTGTGCCCGAGATGAACCGGGATTGACTAAAGCAGTGGGGCGCTGCAAAAGAATATGCATAGCAGCGAAAAGATCGCAATGAGCAAGTGATAATATTAAACGGCAAAGGATCATCTCAAGAATCTTTTGGCATCTGGGCCATCCATCAGCGAAGGACATTTTGTCAAGAAATGGTTATCGTTTAGTTATCGTTTTCGTTATCGTTCAAAGAGGGAAACATTTTTGGGAAAATGGCATGAGCCAAGGAAAGTTGGAAAGGATACCTGTTGTCATCGTCACTGCTTGCATGAAGGCGCGGAACTCTTACGAAAGGCTTGAACAATGGCGAGACAACAAGAGCATCCAAATCCAGCTAGTTACCACATAACAATACGTGATTGGATACAAAACCGTTTGCAGTAATCAGAAATAAAGAAATTGGCCAGGATCAAGAGTGTCAGCATACTTTTGCACATCTTCCGTAGTGTGAGCTGGGCATGACGTGTACCCCACAACTGAGAGCCTAGATGATCTACATGCTTCTAGAACAGGTATCCACCATCATGTCATGTACACAACCCCTTCACTTCCCACAATGCTTTCACATATGATATGATTCCCACGTTATCGTTTGACATGAAAGATCGCTCGAAGAGTTTAGCCTTTTGCTCATATTCTGATGAAACTGAACCTCTTCAGTTTAAATGATCGCCCAACCTGGTATCACGTTTCTTCAAGGTCTCTGTCTGGTTACGTAATTTGACATCAGACTCATTGGCACCAAGAGTGTTGTTCGGATTTGGTAAACCTTGCATGTAGATCTCTGCCGGGGCGTGCACGATCATCATAGTGCGTGAAACCTGCTCCAAGTTCTGGTACTTGCCAACCGCTGCTCTGGTGACCGTGTGATAGAGGCTGTTGTCTTTGAAGTAAAGGCCTTCTCGGTTTTGCAAAGGCAACTCCTCACACAATGGTTCCGTGCCATCCAATGAGGCATGGAATACGTTCTCTGCACCCTCAAGCTTGTCTCCCCGATGCAAACAGACAAGCATGGCACGATCTGCGCCATCTGTGTGGATACCTTGCCCAGTCACACTGGCACGGGTCTTTGCATATTCTTTTTTGTCAAAGTAGCTGGTCTGGATCTGAATGAGGATGGCAGTTTTCTCTGGAATCCCATAGTACTTGGCAAAATTCAAGACCACTTTGGCGATGGGGGCACCAGGCTCAAAGAGGTCTTCATTGATCAAACCATAGTATCTGCGGAGTCCACCTGAGAAGTCATTGTACTCCACATCCTGAAGGAAGTAGTTCTGAGTGAACGTCTGCACTCTGCCATTGATGATGGTGGCAAAGCGAATGGCTTTGTGACGCTTGGCAAAGTGTTTGCTGCTGGGGTCTTCACTCAGCACCGTATTCTCCAAAATGTGCTGCCTCTCTGCATCCGACATGACATCCAGAATGTGCTCGAACATTGGTTTGCCATCCCAATCTCCCGGAGGCAGGCCCGCGCCCGGAGCCGTCGGGGACTGGGTAGCCACGTCGACCGCTGTGTTTTCAAAGGCCTTTTCTACATTGACAAGAACCTCCTCGGTTGGCTCCATTGCCTGGACCGCACACAAGTTGCTGCCCATGGCGGCTGAAGGCCCTGGGGAAATTTACGCGGAGAATTTATGGCAAGGCACTTCAGCCGAAATGCTGAAGCAGATGATCTTGGACACAAACACCTCCTGAACGAATGATTACTTTGAAGTAATGTCATATCACAATGATTCACAATGCCCATACATGGTTATTGTATGTTATTGTACAGATCTAGCTCCACCTCAATCCCCAAGTCATTCAATCCATGGACTCTCCACGACTTTCCAATCTCCCGGGGATCAGCAAGATAGTCATGTATTAGGCAGTGATAAGTGTTCCGTTTCCAATTTCGAGATTTTGTCTGAAGAAAACGTCAATGTTCGAGTCCTTTCGTTCCACCCGAGGCACATGCAAGGTGTCTGGGATGTACTTGGCCAACGCTGCACAAGCGCTGATGCTTTTGTCATGGTCCAATCGTAGCACTCCGAAGTTCAAATGTGACAGGACCTGCAGGGTGAGGCGTTGACTGCAGGGCAACAGGGAAGTCATCTTGTTTGGAATGGGACCGACTCCGACAGATATCAGTTTCGCGAAAGAATTTGCGCCCACACATCAATGATTTTTGCCTATCGGACTGTCACCCTGTACCCATCAATCCTAACCTTCGCTATCAGAACAAAGCCAAACTATGAGTGGTGCCTATACGATCCCAAACGATCCCCCGGAATGAGAGCCCAGGTGAAGTGTGGCCCTTGCAGTGGACCTCTTTCCGAGTGTTCTCAGCCCACAAGCGCTGGCGCCAGGACTGACAAAGCTGACCCCAAAGTCCGAATGCTTCCAACGGCGAAAACGGCGCTAGCAACATCGGCATGCTGGGAAACCACATGGCCGCGCCCCATGGCACATGAACGCGTACCAAAAGGCAAGAATGTATTGAATCTGATGTAAACCCGTTTAAAGTGGTCTCTTTCTGCTGAGAAAAGAGTGGGGTTGTTACGAAGGATCCAGTTGGTGCACCTGAACTTCTGTGATCCGAGACTCCAACATCTGCTGAGCATATTCGCAAGCAGCAGCATCATCTAACACTTTCTGGCAGGCAGAAATCATACCACTGCACAAAGATCATGTCCTATGTTTTCAGGTATGTCAACAAACCATTTTCCTAAAGGAAACCGCGCGTGGCCTGTGACATCCTGTGACTTTGAGTGAAGCCTAAAATTGGAATACTCCAAAGATCTAAGACTCCTTGCGGTAGCCATGAGTGTTCTGGATCTGGAACGGGTATGGAACAGGGTCTGGAACGAAACAGCCCACCCCAGAACCTACGTTATAACATCTTCTTCAATTAGCTTGCAAGACGTTCCTGGTATGTTGTAACATCTTTTTCAATTAGCTTGCAAGAGGTTCCTGGTACGTTGTAACATCTTCGTCAAGTAACTTGCAAGACGTTCCTGGTATGTTGTAACATCTTCTTCAAGTAACTTGCAAGACGTTCCTGGTATGTAACATCTTCGTCAAGTAACTTGCAAGACGTTCCTGGTATGTTGCAACATCTTCGTCAAGTAACTTGCAAGACTTTCCTGGTATGTTGTAACATCTTCGTCAAGTAATTTGCAAGACGTTCCTGGTATGTTGCAACATCTTCGTCAAGTAACTTGCAAGACGTTCCTGGTATGTTGTAAAATCTTCGTCAAGTAACTTGCAAGACGTTCCTGGTATGTTGTAAAATCTTCGTCAAGTAACTTGCAAGACGTTCCTGGTATGTTGTAACATCTTCGTCAAGTAACTTGCAAGCCGTTCCTGGTATGTTGCAACATCTTCGTCAAGTAACTTGCAAGACGTTCCTGGTATGTTGTAACATCTTCGTCAAGTAACTTGCAAGACGTTCCTGGTATGTTGTACCATCTTCGTCAAGTAACTTGCAAGACGTTCCTGGTATGTTGTAACATCTTCGTCAAGTAATTTGCAAGACGTTCCTGGTATGTTGTAACATCTTCGTCAAGTAACTTGCAAGACGTTCCTGGTATGTTGTAACATCTTCGTCAAGTAACTTGCAAGACGTTCCTGGTATGTTGTAACATCTTCGTCAAGTAACTTGCAAGACTTCCTGTAGGTTGTAACATCTTCGTCAGTAGCTGCAAGACGTATGTTGTTGTAAAATCTTCGTCAAGTAACTTGCAAGACGTTCCTGGTATGTTGTAACATCTTCGTCAAGTAACTTGCAAGCCGTTCCTGGTATGTTGTAACATCTTCGTCAAGTAACTTGCAAGACGTAATCCTGGTATATTGTAACATCTTCGTCAAGTAACTTGCAAGACGTTCCTGGTATGTTGTAACATCTTCGTCAAGTAACTTGCAAGACGTTCCTGGTATGTTGTAACATCTTCGTCAAGTAATTTGCAAGACGTTCCTGGTATGTTGTAACATCTTCGTCAAGTAACTTGCAAGACGTTCCTGGTATGTTGCAACATCTTCGTCAAGTAACTTGCAAGACGTTCCTGGTATGTTGTAAAATCTTCGTCAAGTAACTTGCAAGACGTTCCTGGTATGTTGTAAAATCTTCGTCAAGTAATTTGCAAGACTTTCCTGGTATGTTGTAACATCTTCGTCAAGTAACTTGCAAGCCGTTCCTGGTATGCTGCAACATCTTCGTCAAGTAACTTGCAAGACGTTCCTGGTATATTGTAACATCTTCGTCAAGTAACTTGCAAGAATTTCCTGTATTTTTAACATCTTCGTCAAGTAGCTTGCAAGACTTCCTTGGTATGTTGTAACATCTCGTCAAGTACTTGCAAGATGGTATGTAACATCTTCGTCAAGTAACTTGCAAGACGTTCCTGGTATGTTGCAACATCTTCGTCAAGTAACTTGCAAGACGTTCCTGGTATGTTGTAACATCTTCGTCAAGTAACTTGCAAGACGTTCCTGGTATGTTGCAACATCTTCGTCAAGTAACTTGCAAGACGTTCCTGGTATGTTGTAACATCTTCGCCAAGTAACTTGCAAGACGTTCCTGGTATGTTGCAACATCTTCGTCAAGTAACTTGCAAGACATTCCTGGTATGTTGTAACATCTTCGTCAAGTAACTTGCAAGACATTCCTGGTATGTTGTAACATCTTCGTCAAGTAACTTGCAAGACGTTCCTGGTATGTTGTAACATCTTCGTCAAGTAACTTGCAAGACGTTCCTGGTATGTTGTAACATCTTCGTCAAGTAATTTGCAAGACGTTCCTGGTATGTTGTAACATCTTCGTCAAGTAACTTGCAAGACGTTCCTGGTATGTTGCAACATCTTCGTCAAGTAACTTGCAAGACGTTCCTGGTATGTTGTAACATCTTCGTCAAGTAACTTGCAAGACGTTCCTGGTATGTTGTAAACATCTTCGTCAAGTAACTTGCAAGACGTTCCTGGTATGTTGTAACATCTTCGTCAAGTAACTTGCAAGACGTTCCTGGTATGTTGTAACATCTTCGTCAAGTAACTTGCAAGACGTTCCTGGTATGTTGTAACATCTTCGTCAAGTAACTTGCAAGACGTTCCTGGTATGTTGTAACATCTTCGTCAAGTAACTTGCAAGACGTTCCTGGTATGTTGTAACATCTTCGTCAAGTAACTTGTAAGACGTTCCTGGTATATTGTAACATCTTCGTCAAGTAACTTGCAAGACGTTCCTGGTATGTTGTAACATCTTCGTCAAGTAACTTGCAAGACGTTCCTGGTATGTTGTACCATCTTCGTCAAGTAACTTGCAAGACGTTCCTGGTATGTTGTAACATCTTCGTCAAGTAACTTGCAAGACGTTCCTGGTATGTTGCAACATCTTCTTCAAGTAGCTTGCAAGACGTTCCTGGTATGTTGTAACACCTTCGTCAAGTAACTTGCAATTTTATGTCACTTTTCGGCGCTCCAAGCGAACTCCCGACCGACGTGAGGGACGTCGGGGACGTCATGGACGTCAGATCAGGGACATGAGGGATGTGGGGGACGTGGGGGACGTGAGGGACGCGAGGGACGTGAGGGACATCGGGGACGTCGGGGACGTCAGGGACGTCAGGGACGTCAGACCAGGGACGTGAGGGACGTGGGGGACGTGGGGGACGTGAGGGACGCGAGGTACGTGAGGGACGTCGGGGACGTCAGGGACGTGAGACGGGGACGTCAGGGACGTGAGGGACGTGAGGGACGTCAGGGACGTCAGGGACGTGATGTCTCCGGCCACTGGCGGGTTAATTAAGAGATTGCTGGACTCCAGCCAAGCTGGAGTCCAGCGCATTTCTGGCAACCAAATGGCTGGATTTCAGCTTTCAATTGTCTGGCAGCCAGATTGCTGGACCTGAAACCTTCTCCTATAGCACCCTGAGCGATTTTTTCAATGTATGATACTTGTCAAATTGTTCAGTGTCAGCGCTGTCTGAGTTCTACGCTGCAGTGGTGGCCCCCCCAGGAGGCCATAGTTGGGAGTCAGTCTGATTGACTGTGTGTTAGTTAATTGTGATGCACATGTTTGCTCATGGTAGTGTGATTGACTGTGCGGTCAGATTGTCGCAGCCTAATTATTGTTCCCTGGAAATTAACAAATTCAAAATGCCTGAGCCGAACCGAACTTCAAAAGTGCAATCCCTGCTGCTGCTGGAGCCACATCTTTGTGACCTTGAGTAACGCTTCCTGGACTTGATGGGTCCTAGGCTGAATCATTTTTTTCCCCATTTCATGCCATGGAGTGAACAATGCGTGACTGATGGTTGTTCATGATTCCCTCTTAGGACATCTACCTGGCTATGACCATGGCAGTCATGGATAAGTGCAAGTAGACCTTGCATGACTGAAATCATTGCGTGCAAAAGGGCCTGGTTGCAGAGACGTACGATCTCAGGGTCCAGGAGTTGTTGAAATGGATCCCTCGTTTCTGTTCAATGAGGACATGCAGATATGTCTCTGTCTGAAGGATGTTTGCTTTGTATGTCTTGAAGCCGCCAGTTTCATTTGAGAGAAATTCCCATAGAGTTTGCATCAGATTTGCTTGACTTGACACACTTGATTTGACTCTTGACTTGGCTCTTGACTTGGCAGCAGGGATTGCACTTTTGAAGTTCAATTCGGTTCAGGTTTGATGATGATTGGCCTGTGTACATGGTGTTGTTTTGTGAAGATTTTTTTTGCATGCTGGATTGTTTTTGCTCAGCAGGTTTTCCTGAGCGGCCTTCTGAGCATGCTGCTATTTATGGAGAAAAAAGTGCTCAGGGTGGCAGCAGTTTAGACATCCATTTACTAAAAGTAAGACATCCAGCTACAGCAACCCTTTTCTTATTATTAATACACTATTTTCAGATATCTAAAATAATTATATATATATATAAATTCAATTCCAATATATCTAAATGCAATTAATTTGTCCAAAAAATCAAGGTGAAATTTTGTAATCTTATGATTCTTAATAGCTTATTTTCATGTCCAAGTCATGAAATAATCGCATTGCACGAATTGTGGCGTCCCCTCAGCTGGCAGCTTCCCACATCGGGCCAGGGGAGCCATGCAATGAATTACGGCAACAGATCCGGCAACAGCAGGGCCAGACTGGAGGGCCCTGGAGGGTATCAATGTCACAATATGATCCAAAATAAGAAACCTATTGGTCCAGTGCCAGGGTGAAAACAAACCATCATTTGGAGACAGTTAAATTTGTGACGGTTGATTCACAAAGATTCACAAAGTCACAAGTCAGGAGCTTGGCGATTGCCCAACCTGCTGGGAATGGCCAGTGGGTCAAATAGCTACGCTCCACAGCGCAACCAACAACTGCAGGAATCCACAACGTGCTGATTGGTGGTCAAAAAAAATGCAAACTATATGATTGTCAAACTTTTGAACGTCTGCTGAAGAATGTCCTCCAATCCACAAAAACAA